CTATGTATGGTTATAGTAAAACTTTTAAATCCTTTAATACATTGGAATGGAAAATATTTGTTAATTATAATAAAAATCTTTAAATAGATGTTTTGTAAGACTTTTGTAGTCCGTTAATGTAACACAAATACGTTAAATATCTATTTTAAGGGATCATATGGAAATTTCACTTTAATTTGTAATTATAAAATAATATAATAATTCTGGAAATGTTTTTGTTTAGGCATTGTCTTAACTATAACGTTTATTATAATTATAATTATTAATATCAGTAGTTTTATTAATATTTTTTTCAAATTTAATATAAACATGTTATGTTGTTGTTAGTTGTGTTTGATATGCGTGTTTAGCTGCAGTATTCATTTAAGAAAAAGCCATGTTGTTTTATTATTGTTGTTGTTTTTATTTGTTTGGTTTTCATTCAGTGTGTTTTGTTAACGATTTTTAATTAATTTAAGTATGTACTAACATTAATATTAATTTCTTTACAAAATTTATGGTTGTTGAGTTAAAATGTTAATGCACTTTTAAATTGTTTATTACTTTGGCAAGAAGCAAAATTATAAAAATAACACCAGTGAAAATTATCTTCTTTTAATTTCTATACACTCTAATTTCTTTTGAAAATTTATGAATATTCAATTATATATTTTTCTTATCTTAAAACTAGATAAGAAGAAAATTCTTCTTAATGGTTTTTTATATTTTTTGCCATAGGAAAACCATTATAAACTTTAAATTTGTTAAAAAGTTGTACATGAAATTAGTAAACTTCATCGTTAATTAAAGGAAATTTTCATTCTACAGATTCGTTCGTACTGACATTTAAAGAAATAAATGTCTTTACACCACATATTCTTTAAAATCATTATTAAAGCTGTTTTTCTACTGAAATTCTTCGTGCCAAAAGAAACGTACTAAGTCGTATGAATTCATAAGGGAAATTTTAATTAAAATAACATTTCTATAACTAACATTTCGGAGAAGTTCGCGAACTGAAAAATTTTGTCAATTTAGAAAAAAATGCAAATAAGAATGAATTTTGCAGAGAATAAAATTAATCACAAAATTCATTATCATTAATATTTTGTGACTTATAAAACTCAAATAAATAATTATGATTTTAGAACTGATAATGTGGAACTGATAAGATGGAATTCGAATAACACGTTTGTTTGTTAACACCCAGTAGTTTCAGGAAATTTGAATAAAATGTGAATTTTCATACAAAATATTATTTTTTGCAAATTTATCCCTTTAAAACATGAGATTCGATATAGCAAGGTTTACATTATTTGATTTGACCAAAAATTTTCAGAGTGCGACGACCATATCTAGTATCAAAATAATCCGAAGTTCCCAAAAAGAAAAAAAACATAGAAATAATAAAATATGACACCCTAATGTATATAAGTATTTAAAAATAATAATTAATTTTTATATTTATATACTTGACATAGCAATAAGCTGTAAAATATTTATAAAGACATTTATCAAATTATGTTTTTTTACTTATATAAACATTAATTTTGTTTTAAAAATATTATTTATATAAATAACAACAGAAAATAGAGAATAAAAAAATAAACGTTTTGAAATCTCTTAAGTAGTGACCCCAAATGACTGGAAGTCTTTATAAATCATTTTGATAGACCACCACTTTATCGCTACATGTACCCGTACATACTGGTGTTGGTATATGTATCTGTGTGTAGATGGTTGGATCTGCTGGCAGATAGAGATTAAATGAAAATGAAATCAGAAAATGTCTGTAGTTTAAATTTATTTATACTTGTATGCATATTAATTTAATAATATTAAATAAATATTTATATAAGTAGCATGTATGTATGTATTTTTTATTCATTTAATGCCACACATATTATAGAAAACAACCAACAATAACAATAAACATCATCATTAAATATAAATATTTAAAAATTATTAGATTATTAAATTAATTATCATTTCTTTTTTAATTTTTATTTTAATATAACGACTACAATAATGAAGACATTTATGTTCAATTTTTATTTAGCTGGACTTTAAAAGGAAATCTTATCGAAAAGAGAGATTTGTTTCAAACATAAATGAAAGGAAATATTAAAAGTGTTGCCAGGCAAGTGACAATAATTTTAAATTTTTATAATTGTTTGCTAAAATATGCAATTTTGTAAAAGTACGCTGACATGTTTGGCATAAATGAAACTAATTCTTAACTTTTTAAATGAGATCATTTGCTATAGTTTGTGTACTTTTATTATCTGTTCAGGTTATATGTATGTACGTATTGAAGTGACATACAATGTTGGTTGATTGGTTGCTGTGTCCCACTATTGTTTCCAACCACCACCACCTTTTTGTTAACAGAAAAAGTTCACAGTAATAAAATTAGTTTTAACGATCTTTTTATGATCTATTTACGATTTTACGCCAACTTACGTACAGAATACTTAACGATACCTCAACACTAAAAGGTTTTAGTAAGTGTTTTCCATGAGTGTATGATAATAGTACACTCATACAAAATGTATGTAAAATAAACATGATGTTAATGATAATTAAATCGTTGGTTAAATGCTTGGGAAATATTTAATTGATTTTTAAAAGAAACATATAAAATCAGTTAAACCCCATAAATTTACCGTTGACTTTTAAAAATTCGCCATCAATTTTTTTTAGTTTTTAGCAAAAAAAAAGAACGTGATTTAAAAATAGTACTTTTTTTTGTATAAAACTCAAGTAAATTGTTAAAATAAACTTGTCAGTAGGTGCGTGTTTTGGAGCAATAATTTTAGAGCTTAAAACTTATGAATTTAAACATTTCAAACACATTTCTTTTAAGGGAAAATACTTTTTATATGAATAAGACATCAGACGAAGAAAACACTTTTTAAATATTTAAGTTTAAAAAAACACATGAAATTAAATGTAAAATTCCTTTCAACACTTTTTGTCTGCTGCTTAATGCCAATAAAATGAAATGACATTTTCATCATGATCGTGATCATGAACAGCAGCAACGTCATTGTTGCAAGCGATTTAAAAAAAAAAAAGAAAAATAAATAAAAGATCTACATCATATTTTTGAACGAAACTCGTTGTACGCAACAGTAGCTGTGTTACATGTTAAACAAGCACAACTGCATTAATTTCCATTTCTCAACTTGTCTGTCAATACCGGTCATATTTGAGGCAATAAGAAATAAAAACTTCTTCCTTATATTTGCAGACAATCACACACAAACACTCAAAGGAATTTCTTTAACAGTTTAATTAAACATACGAAAAACACAAACGAAACATATGAAAATTACATTTACATCACAAGATGTGGTAAAATTCTACTAGTGTATTGCCTTGGCTAAATTCCCCCTTGAAACTCTATCAACAGCGCCACAACTTGTAATCTAAAGACTGTGTGTAAGTAACCAGAAACCGATCAATGCCTCAAAACATAACACTGCTGTTTGCATTGCCACTTCTGGCATTAAAGAATATTTTAACATCAAGTCTGCTGGATACACTGACGAATTTTGCAACGAATTGAAATTTATGTAAGCAGGCAACCAAGTGTGATATGATCCCGTCAAAGTCAGTCAGTCTGTCTGTCTGTCTATGTTTAATTTAATTTAAAGTACAATTAAACTTTTTCTTATTTTGCGAACAACATGATTAAATCTCATGGATGATGTCGGTGCAGGAGATGGTGATCGCTTTAAGTACGTGCTCGAGACGTGTTGACCATCAGCTCGTATGGCAAATGTTGGCCACTATATATTTATTAATTGTACAAATGATTGTATCCTCAATACTTTGTTTGAAATTTTAATACTTTTATTGTTTATTTTTGTTACGCTTGAATATTGTTCGTGTTTTTTTTTTCGTTCAATTTGTTTTGCTATTAAATGTACTCTTTTGAACCAGTTTCCAGTGAAGAAAGTTTTGGAAGACCAAAATTAATATACAAAATAAAGAATAGGGAAAATCGTTCATATATTTTTTGTCGAAATTATAAAAATTTTTATATAAATGTATAATTTTTTTAAGTTTTTATATAGATTTTTTAAAAATTACAGATTTTATTAAAAATTAAAAAAAAAACAATGCTTTTGATTGGATATTGAAAAAGTGAATCTTTCCAATAATTTTATGTGTACATTTACTTCGTTGACATACTTTACTTGCTGTTGCTTGCTGTTGTATATGATGAATATTTAAATGATGTAAATGAAGCTAAATACATGACATTTGAAGTAAAATTATTACAAGATCTTATTACGATTTCAAAAGAAAAATTTCATATAAATCAAGAACAATTAAAAAATATGAAAATATAAAACAAAGCATAAAATCACGAAAAACAATTCATTGAATAAATAAATAGAAGAGTAAAACAATAGAATAGAATTGTTGTTTAAAAATAGTCAGGTACTAATTTACAGCATTAAATGTACGCAAAACAGCATGATTAAAAGAGACGTACTGCGAATGAAAGGCTTTGGAACAACTGCAGAAATATGAAAGGATTCCGTTTTATGCAACAATATAACAGACCGTGAAATTTTTAAAATCAAATATTTTTAAAAAGAAAATATGAAAATTTTATCTATTGAAAAAATTTTTGCTAAAGAATGGTTTTAAAAGGGTTTTTGTGACAATGACAGATGTATGAAATATCAAAGAGAGAGAAAGTATTTTTTTTAGTCTTTTTGTTTTAAAACAGCAGGTATCGGCAAAAAAATTTAAAGTTTTCAAGGTCATACGTATATGAAAAAAAATATTAAACATTTAAAAATGTTTCCTTTGCTAACTGCTAACTCTTAAGTACATATGTTGAGCTATCCTCGGCAAAAATATTTAATAACTCTTTGGTGAAAAAGTCAAAACGCCATATTCCTCACTTTTGCTTTTTAAACATTTCAATGTCATTCTACTCATTAACTTTGGCAATGAGTTAAATAAACATTAGTTTTTTGGGTTTTATTGCATTTACTTACCATTAAAATCTCCGCATACTACGCGTTCGAAGGGACTTCCCATCCAGTCTGTAAATAAAAGAAGAAGAATTAGGTAAAATATTAGTCATATATTCATAATTTATTTTACGGTTTGTTATAAACTCATTAGTTGAAGTTAAATTAAGGATTTAACTCTTCTTAGGGCGTTAAGGGTAAATTATGAAATCATAAGTATGTGGTCTTGTCAAGGTTGTCTAAGTAAAATATTTAAGAATTTTCAAAATAACTGACAAAACATGCTTTACAATTTTTCTTTGAAATATTTTAAAAATGGCGATAATCGCAGTTAATATGTATCTAAATATAAAAACTCTAACATGTTAATATATGTGATATAAGTAGCAATAGATTTTAAGTCAGATCTTATAAGTATTCACAATTAATAAATCTGTCTTGACTTATTATCATGATAAATAATTTTAGCCTTATTTTAATTAAGGTCTGATTTACTCATTCAATATTATAAACTCTATGCAACTCGATTATAACACCCCATAAATGAAAAAATATCTTAATTATTCCAGCTTTGTTTTTCTTTAAATTAAAAAAATAATAAAGGAATTATAATATTATGCCAACAATTTAATTAAAAACTGCATTAATATTTTGTACAATTTACACATCATATTGAAATTATTTGTTCTGTTTTTTTTTACAAATTCATATTTATGCACATGTCCAGGCCAGTACATGAACATTTGACGCCATTGTCGTCTGAGCTTTTCCTTGTTTGTTCGTTCATTCATTCATTCATCTGGTTTTAAATGAGACCAGACAAACTTACAACAAGCCAACAACTACAAATACAATAATAGCAACCATAATTACAAAAAAGTTAAATTTTCATTAAAACGCCAGCACGGTGGCCCTTTTCCCAACAAGTCCATATAAATGTCTGCGTGTCTGTTTTGAACCTGACTGGGTTGGCATCCAGTGGAATCATTTCACAATGCATTTTGTTGCTACAACGAGTACGAGGAGCAAGCATGTGAATGTGTCAGTTGGAATGTTGGTGTGAATGAGTGTTAAATGACATGGCGCGCAGTGTTTTATTTTTGTTTTTTTGTTTTTTGTTTTGCCCAAGTTTTTCTTTTAGTATTTTTAATTAAAACACACAAATTCTTATGTTGCTGTCATTGCTGTGTGCTTTCGTTCGTTCGTTCGCTCCTCTTCTCTTTTCTATGACATTCATGTTTGTTGATGCTGTTTACTTTCCATGGCCATGTTTGTCAGAATATCTTCTTTTTCTACCATTTAAATGGCGGGTAAAAGGAGATTTTTGATATTTGAACTGTTTACTGTCGTTGTTGTTGTCTTTAGTGCATTTTTCTCTCGTTTTCCGTTTCCACATTAAAAACGCTATTCTTTGAATTTATGTGCTTTATCGCTTGAGCTACATGCATGCGTGGCATAATTAATAATTGATTAAAACGAAAACTTTCAGAATTAAAACTTTTAGTTTTTTTTTTATAAAAATAAATAAATTTTATTATTCCAAATATGTAGGCGTCTAAAGAAAACTATTTAGGTTAAATATATATTTTGTGCAGTCAGTCATGTTCAATGTAAATGTCATGGTCGAAGTTTTGTATTTTTTTAAATAATATTGGCAGTTTGATAGATAATCAAATAATACCAATTGGTTTTAATTGTTAAAGATATAGAAATTTATGCCAAATTTAAAGATAGAAAAAATATTGACCGTAAAAACGCGCGTTACAAATCGTTTGCGTGATAAACTTAACATAATATGGTTGCGACAACTATTTTAATTTTTGTAATCATATAAGGATTATTGTTGTAACCATTTTTGATTTTATACATATTTTTTCTGTATTTATTTTATAATCCTAGATAGAACTTCTAACTGCAATAACAGAACATTTCTTTTTCAAATTAAATCTAGTGTAAAAACTTTGTACATTTAACAGTAACGTAATTAAAAACAAAATGCAAAATTCACTTTGAATGGCAAAACGGATGACAATATTAGAATGCAACAAAAAAGTATTTTTGTTTTTTTATTATATGTTTTACATTTCATGCCATTGTTTTCATTCTCTAATGCCCTGGAAAAGCTGACAAGGAAACGAAAGTTTCTTCCATATTCAATCCAGTGTTCCTGTTCGTAGAGCCAATGATGTGTAAGTAAATTACAAAAGTCTTTGTCTAACAATTTTTAGTCGAGTTTGTTTTATTTTTTGTAGCATTTTGCATGATTATGCATGTTTTTGTTTAGTGAAGAGAAGGTAACAAAGTTAACTAAGTAAATGTATTTAAATTCATTAGTTAAACTACATTTAGCCCTTAAGATTCGACTGACACTTTCTTCTTTCTACCACGCGCCTTTAATCCCATAATAAGCCAATTGTTGAAGTCCCTAGAAGTCTGGCGCAGTCACCAGGTCCTTATTTATTTAAACCCTATAGAATGCTGACAAAGTTTAACTCATGACTGCACTTCAATGACGACGACATCATGGCAATAAATTCAAGCTTTGGCACAAACTTTATCTAAGTAATTTTACACACACGCAGTAGTTACATTTACCATCACGAACTCATTGTGCAACTTAATGTAAAGTATTACATTTAGATGACGTCTCCATGGCGTTGACAAAAGGTTGCCAGCAAAAATCATACAAAATTTTTAAGTTGCACTTCCTTTCAAAAACAAAATTTGTGAAAGAAAATATAAGATTCATACACTTCATATAACTACAAATTGTAGAAAAGCCACATCAGCTAACTAAGTGACTATCTATCTGTCAGACAGTCTATCTATCAGTCGGTTTCTCATCTGTAACCATTCTGTCTGTGGGTCTTTCAAAAACAACATTTCAACATCATTCTATTCGCTGTACTTGTTGTCTGAATACTTTTGCTCGTCTATGAGCTGGTTGACAATTTCATTATTGTGAAAATATGCAAAATATTTAATATTTATGCATTTGTTGATTGTATTATTTGCTCGGAGTAAAAGTATGTACATATGTATGTGTAAAATGTTTTTTCTTTCGTTCTGTTTTAACTAAAACAAACTGCAGAGATCCACGTCTACGAGTATCTGACATTTTCCCGTGTGATGATGATGGTGTATGTCAGTATTTAAGCTTCTTGAATTTTGCAATTTGTTTTTATTTTATTTTCATATTTGTTGTTGTTCTTGGTTTTCTTTTACTTTTCTGTCATTCAAATTGAATTTTAAATAATACTCAGATACATTCAATTATTTAGGTATACGCACACATACACTTGTATTTATCTAGATATTTGTATAACCTAGTAAACATTATTCTTAGCGTTTTATTGTTAACATAAACATTATATACTTTTCAATTTTTTCACTGATAGTTTGGCATACATTGTAATTTTGAATTGGAAGTCGATAATTAATGTCCTTTTTTCGCAAAATATTTCTTTTGGAAATGTGATTATCTAGGAAGAAAAATATGTATGTATTTATAGTAATCGATCCCAAATTATAACAAGTAGAACTGACTTTATGTAAGAAAAAATTCACTTAATCAGCTTCCGGGTAAACACAATCACACGTCAATAATAACGACCTAAATAAATGAATTTGTTTACTGGGTTTGCATCACACCGCATTCTAAATAGAAACATTTAAACATACCTAATGCTCACAGACCAATAATTTAAATTAACTGTCAATGTGTAGCATTCAGAAAATAAACCAATTTAATTAAATAAAAGATGAATGCATAGAATTTGAAATCAACATACAAGTATTCAGTATTTTATATGACTAAGAGAGGTTGCTTTAAGAGGGCGACAAACTAGCAGAGCAGGAGAAAGAGGAATACAGTAACTGGTATGTAAAGAATATGGCCATAACGGTGATGGTGTTATTAGTTGATTATTTTTTAATTATAACTATGTTTAATGCAAATTTCGTTACAAAAAAATTTAAATAATTAATTAAATTTTGTTGTAGGATTTTTTATAATCTTAGTATTGATTTTTAATTATCTTATAATTACTGATAATTTATTTGATTTGAATTGATTTTATAGACTTGAGCAAAGTCATTTGATATTAGTTGTAGTTGTACAAGTAAATTGTGGTGTGAAGAGATTAGAGGATTGTAACAAGTTTGTTACTAGGAAATCAAAGTTGTATTGCTTTATAATAAGATATAAATAAAATTATCCACTTTTTTAATTTTAATATTAATTCTCTTGTTATTTTTTAAAATCTATTGAATAACAATTTTGTTTATCAACAATTTATTTATAGATTTTTCAAATCACTCACATTTTGGCTAAAATAAATTTTATTTTGAAAAATGTGTACTTAATAGCCTTGAATTGCTTTTCAACCCATTAAATTAATTAAACAAACTACATACTTATTTATATTAGTCTTTTTGTTTAATATTGCATAAATGGTCGACTGTATGATACCCTACTCCAGTGCATATGTTAAGAATATAGATTATTTTTTAATAATAAAGCATTTAAATTTTTTACCTTAATTTATTTAAAATATTTTAACAATTTATTGACAAAATTTTGGTAGAGGGATTTACGTTTACATTAAAGTTATTTATGCAGAATTTCATTGTGGTATTAGTGTTTATAAGTGAATTTTGACCTTCAAGTGATTTTCCGTAGGGGTTCGATCATTACGAAAATCGGGAGCATAATTAAGACGTATATAAAACCACGTTATGCCGATTTTTGTAGAGATATTAGAACCTTTAACATAATTATAAGCTCAAAAGCCCTATTTGGGGGGTACGGTATGGGGGCTAGGCGAAATAATGGACCGAAGAGTATGTGACAAATTTCATCAAATTATCTGGAAAATTCCGACCAGTAGCGTGCGCACAAGGTTTACATGGTCTTACAAACGGGCAGACAGACAGACCGACCGACAGACGGACGGAGAGACGGACATAGCTTAATCGACTCAGAAAGTGATTCTGAGCCGATTGGTATACTTTAAGATGGGTGTAGTACCAATATTTTTGGGTGTTACAAACTTTAGCACAAACGCATAATAATGTTGTAGCCTGTAGAACAATTTACCTACTTAAATAGGTTCTTATTTGAATTATAAATAAATAACTAACGAACTAATCCATCTAAATTGTATGAAAACTGCTAGAATAAATTTTGGCAAACAAATCGTAAAAAAGGTAAACAATTGTTTGTCTAAAATTAAAAATTATGATTATGGAAATGTATATTTTAAAAGAAAATTAATACATTTTATTTTTATTTAACTGTAGCATAAGCATTTTTATGAACCTACAATGACGTTGTTCTTACGTTTAAATAAAAAACAACCACGCATCAATACAGTTTTAATATCGTGCGCCAAAAAAAACTTTAAATTTAAAATTATACTAAAACGACCTCAATGATACATCTAACGGATTTTTTTTTAAATTGTATTGTTGCTGTTTTTTTTAAATATATTTTATTAATTTATTTCTTCTTAAAATGATGAAGTGTTGTATGTGTAGTAAAAACTTTTGAATTTAAATTTCAGTGTGTGTTTATGTTTGTTATTAATTATACATTTTGGTATATTTAAAAAAAACATTCATTTTGTTTAATGTTTATTTAAATATGGGATTGTTTAGAGAAATATTCATGTTTGTGAATTTTTCGGTTTATTGTCTAATACATATTTATAAATATTTAATACATAATATTTCGAAATAAATTTAAAGTTGATTTCATAAATTCAAATTTTTTAGTTAGTGTTTAAGGGTTGCCAGAAGTTTATTTAATGTATTATAAAACTATCTGATATTTTATTTATTATAAAAAATAATTTGAAGCATTTCTAAAATATTTTAAAATTTTCGTTCAAAATAAATTTTTTCGATCTCAATTTTTCATTCGCGATCAAAAAATGTCATTACAACCAGTCCTTTTTAATCAAAGAGACTGAAACTTAGTGCTTAAAATTAAAAAAAAAAAAAAACTTGAAAAAGTAGGACTAGCATTAGTTTTGAGCTAGGTCTAGAAGTCAAAATGTAGTAATATTTTATAAGAAAATTGTAAATGTCGTTTCGGCCAATTCCTAGGAATTTTTTTGAGCATATAAACATGGCAACTCTTGTTATTTTTTCATACGTACAAGGAGTATGACAGCACGAGATTAAAAGCAAGAGATTAAAATTAAAACCAAAAGATTTATTTGATTTTTTTCAACCAAGTTTTGAATTAAAAATTCCCCACTTTTTTATTTGATCGTCAAAGAGGTGCGGTTTCGTTGTTCATCTTTTTTTCCTTCTCTAATTTAAATTATTGTGTCTGACAAAGAGATTTGTGTGAAGGCGTCGTTATTGTTACCTTTTGCTTGAATTCAATCGAGCTAAGAGTAGAGGAGAAGTAGGAAAAGTTCTTCACAATCTTGACAATTGAAAAAGACAAATAAATTTAGACTCACACATGAAGAGGTATAATAGAATAGAATAACTAAAAGAAGTCTAAAACAATCAACTAACTAAATGAAACGTAACAAACATATAAATGAAATAATGAAGAGAAAAAAACGTAAACTATTTAAACAAAAACCATGCGTGTCTGGAAATTCAAATCAAAATTCTATTTATTTCTTCATTTTTTTTAGTTTTAGCTGCGCGTACGTTGAATACGGCGAGTATTAGTTTTGAATTTATTTTTGGCTTGGTAGTAGAAGTCAAAATTGAAATAGAAGTGGTCGTAGTAGAATGAAATGAAATGTGAATAGTGACAGGCCATAATACGTTCAATGACTTTGGTTGTTTGGTTCAGTTTTTTTTTGGTTTAGATATGTTTCTATTTCTTGGTTTTATACTTCTGTATATGTTCGTCCCTCTGTCTGGCAGTCTATGAGTAGAACGTTGCTACACGTCATACACGTTTGAATTTCATTTTACCATTTATTTTTAATAATTTCATAAATAATAATAACAACAACAACAATGAGTTATGGAAAAATTAAAATAAACCTACGACAATATATTTTGGCTTTATAATACAAAAAACTAAATGAAAGAAAGAGTAGAATTGAAAAAAAAAATAAACTCTTGGCTGGGGTTTAATTTTTGTCTAATATTTCAAATGTCCACAATACTCGTATTTTTATTATGTACATAATGGCTTGGACTTTTTCAAAGAAAATTGTCAACATTTAACAACGATTGAAAAACCACCCAAAGAGAGTTAGACATTTAACTTCCGCTGTTACTTTATAAACAAATATTAATCACACTTAATGGTGGAAAAACGTTTTATAACTTACCTGTTAATGTCATCCAGGGATATCGGGGTAAATCGGCAATACTTTGACCAGCTCCTCCGGTGGGCACTACACCCGATGAGGGCTGTGTACAGGCATTGCCCAGTGAATCAACACCAATAGCACCAGCTGAAGCGGCTGAGGCAGCAGCCGCATGCTGATAGAATTGTGCAAAACTGGCGGAGGCTGAGCCAGGTACGCTCATTGATTGATAACTATTCATGACACTGTCGGAGTACCTGCTGAAAAAGTAAAAAATAACAAAAATTCAATAAAAGGTAAATAAGTATTTTCTCTACAATAGTCAAGGTTATGTTTGAGCTACACACAAGAGTACAAAGTGAAAATGCTTTAAGTAGGACTTAAGAGTCCTTAACATTGACTACTGTAAATTGCCTACAAATTATATGCAAATTTCACACAATTCTTCAAATCAAGGTTAATAGATGTGCAAATTTGTCTTTTTATTCATAGAAAATATTGTACATCCTTAATCTGTGTTTCTGTCCCATGATTTGTGGTCAACTTATATTTAGTCCTGGTTAGTTTGTGTATGTAAAATTAAGATAAATCCATTTGCTAATCTGCATGCTGGTATTTGTTTTTTTCTATTGATTGTGGGTGCGTTTGTTTAGTCTAATTATTCTTTATATAAGTAATTCAAATACAAATTATCCTTGTAAATTCCCAGTGGCCAAAAACGATTCGAAACTGCATGTGTGCTCTAGTTTTTATGACTTTTTATAGTCATATATACAAAAATGTGTGTGTTTGTTAAAACAAATATTGTGTGATTTGTTCAACACCCAATTTGACTGAGTTTTTAAAAGTCATAAATCACAAACATAAATCTCTGGTTTAGAAGTGATTTATGCATTTTTGTCAATAGCCAAATTATAATGTTCTGTTCTGCCAAATATCCTGGGATAATGTTCCTGTTAATTAGAGTAATTAGGTGTGTTTGTGGATTTTGGTCAGATTTAACTGATGTGTTTGTGGGAGATTATAATCATGCGTCATACATATATACATCATACTACAGTAACGAATATAAATATTTGAAAAATAACATAACGGCTATTGTTTGCATAAAATAAACAGATTTTTAAAGCTATTTTTCTCAACTATAACAAAAACTAATTTTGTCGATTTTGGTTATGGGTCAATTTTTATATTTTAATTTTAATAATTTTTAAGCTTATAAAAAGCATATTCGTTTGCTGCTGAAATTCTTTTCTATGCGTAAATTGAAACACTGAAGCATACTGAAGCGGTTAATATAATTCAGCAAAGCTTCTTATGTCTCGGAAATTGGAGTATAATTTTTGGACTTTATAATAACGTTCTACCCAAAAGAATAAAAATAGCTAAAGATAACAAAATTGATTGATCAATTGATTTATAATAAACCACTCCTTACAACAAGTCACTGTCAAAAATCTGTCATTAATGATGCTTTAAATAATATTTAAAACACTGTCAGGTCTTTTCAGATAAGGATGCCACTGTACCTTTTAATGTCAAATCCATCTACAAAAGATTTAATTAATTTAACTGAAGATAATTGAATTAAAAATATAGCAATATATTTTATTATGGTTTGATTCTTGTAAATATTTAATTGTAGATAAAACATAGTCGCTACCGGTCCTGTTCCTGACTTCCTCAAAATTATGCACGTTAAGATTATTTCGTGCAATTAAATTAAAAATTTTTAAGCATTTCACTTGATGCGTACAACTAAGGCAATCTTACCTGCAAGTTTTATCCTCTAGGCCCGAAAAGCCTGGCATGCCGGAGAGACCTCCATGTGACGTGGGATGATTTGATACATATGGATACATTTTGCTTGTGGGTATGGCAAACGATGAGGAAGCAGCAGCGGCGGCGGCAGCTGCTGCAGCGGCTACAGAACTTGCGGCACTAGCGTGCGCCTGAGCCGAGGACGATGGTGAACTGTCGTTTAAACTGCGATGCAGTGACGAGGATGCCGACGGTGATGGCGAACAACTGCTGTCACCTGTGTGGGAGTTATTTCCGGAGGGCGGTGTAAGTAACAATTGCTGTTGTTGCTGTGAAGAACTACTACCGTTACTTTGTTGTTGCTGTTGGTGATGGTGTTGCTGTGTACTGGCAGCTACGGCGGCGGCAGCTAATTTATTTATGTGCAATTGTTGTTGATGTTGCTGCTGTAATTGCAAAGCGGCTGTCAACGAATACTGATGATGCGGATGATGGTGATGATGTTGTTGACTGTTGGCAAAATGAGCCTGTTGTTGCTGCTGATGATGCTGACTAAGACCGCCAAAGGCTGTTGAAGACGATGGCGAGGATGATGATACAGGTGAATTGGACGATTGATTCAAATGACTGCTGCTGAGTTGGCCGGAAGTGTTGGGTGAAAGTAATGATGACGACACACTATTTTGATTGTTAATCGAATTAGAGGTATTCAAACTGAGTGTGTTGTTCAGGGAACTACTGCTACTATTGTTGTTATTATTGTTGTTGCTACTGGAATTGTTAGCGTTGGATGCGGCTGCTGATGATGACGAGGAGGAGGCGGCTGCAACGGCTAGGGCGGCGGCAACAGCTGCTGATGATGAATTTTGTGTTGTTGTAGTTAAATGTGAACTTATAAATGGTTGAAACTGTGGATACTTTGGTAGCATACTATCGAAAACAAATTTTGACATTGCACATAGTTTTTCTTTTGCTATAGTGTGTGGGTGTGTGTGTTTGTTTTTTAATAGACAGACAGTTACATATGAATGAAGGAGTAGAAAGTAGTGATGGGTTTGTAAAGAGAGATGGGCAAAAGAAGTCGAGTTTTTAAGAAAGTTTAATAGGAAAAAACTGACACAGTTGTTAAAACAGCGGCACGAATTAAATTTTAATTTAGTTTGTTTTCTAATAAAGTAAAAGAAAGTCTATGGATGGTTGTTTTTTTGATCTCAGTTAACTATTATTCGGTGTTTTAATATAAAATTTATGATTTATGACTCATTGTAAGCGATTTATTTTTATCGTATTTTTTCCAAAAGTTCAAAGTTGGATTTTATGTTAAAGGTTAAAATTTCTTATCTCATTTCTATATGCAATGATGTGAAAGAAACTGTGTTCTATGTACTTTGTGAAAAATAAGTTTTAAAGTTAATTTTAAGAAATTTTGTTGATGTTTCAATGATAATTTTTGAAAAAAGCGACTAAAATGGAAAATTTTGTTTTTCAATAGACAGCTCAATTATATTATTATTTTATTCAAAACAAAAATGACAATTTTTTGCTTTCAACTAATTAAAAATTAAGTTGTTAAGCAATACATAATATTTATTATTGCCAAAAATTAAATCAAAATTATTAAGTATTAATTGAATTCCTTTCTTTAACCTGTTGTTTGTATTTCAGTTATCTAAATTCTGGTTTATATAAATCAAACAAATCTTAGTCTTGATATTGAGTATTTTTAGGAGAAACTGTTTTACTCAAACTTTTGTGATATATTTCGAGAAGTTACTTATCAAATGGTTTTAGTATTTCAGATTAGACTTTTTCAGTTATTCAAATTACGAAAACTAATATAAAGAAATGTAATATTTAATTGAAAATTTAGTTTTGAAAATTTTTATAGTCATAACTCCAAAAGTTTATTTTTCTATATGGATAAAATTAAATCAATTCATGTATATCATATCAAGAAATGTTAAAGACAGATTTAAATATTAATCAACTTCAAATATAATCTTATTCGAGAACTCTTTTTTAACAATTTTTATTGGTTGGTACTAGTTTTGATATGTTTGCCGACACAATAGCTGATCTTTGGGCAATTACATTATTATAGTGAATTGTCATAAATGTTATTGAATTTAAATAAGTGACATTTTGTCAAAATTCTTTCAATAAAATACAAGAATGTCAAAACAAAATACTGTCACTGATACCAGTATGTACCTTGTTTTATTCGAATCTAATTTTAATAATTTTTACATAAACTAAAAATTAAATATATATTAAATGAATTTAAGAAAGTTTAATATGGATATTATTTTAATGAGACTTTTTTAAAAGAACCATTTCTAACAAAAATTCCCAAATAGTGCTTAAGATATTTTCAAAAATTATCATAATTGTTTTAAAAAGAGAAAATTATATAATATTTTACGCAAAAGTAAACCACATTTCATTAAAACTTAAATATTGAAAATAAAATAAATTATAAAGAAAACAAAAAGTAAATAAAACTCAAAATCCCATACAAGTTAGTAAAATGAAATAAATTTCATAAAAAAAATTAAAGCTTGGTTAAATGAATTAAACGAAAATGAAATAAAAAATTCTAATAAACTAATATAAAAAGCTTAATATAAATAATTCAATAAATAATAAATAAATAAATATAATAAAATGAAAAGATGTAGAATAAAACAAAGAGGTTTACCTTGTGTGTTTAATTTGTGATTTTATGCAAAACAAGCAACGAAATTTGTTAAAATTTTTATATTTTTATTTGAAATAAAACAAATCTTGTTTTTTAAGAAACAGGTGTTGTTGTAGTCGGTGTATTTGGCAATTTCATTAATATTTAGTTTTTAACACTTTCTTAAATTTTTTTAAAATGCCGTCGCTTAAAATTTTAATTATTTTTTTTTACTTTTGACGACGGAAGTTATAAAATATGACACTTTTTATTTATTATTTGTTTGTTTATTTTTTAAACTATTTTACAATTTTTTTTATGGATTTTTAAGGACTCTGTGTAGGTGTTTTTATCTTGTTGTTGCTATTAAATGTGGTTGATAGTTAGACGTATAAACGAACGCACACGCGTTTAAAAAGTCGTAAAATATTTTGGTGTAAAAGTAATAAAAATTTCTTTGAGGACTTGGTGTGCGGTCCCACTTGCTTCAGGTTGTTGTAATTTTATTTTATTATTGATTTTATTTTTATGTGTTGTTAAATTGTAATTAATTTGTTGCATGTACAAAATTTAAAAAAAAAACTATTTTTTTTAATTTTTTTTTCGTTTTAAAAAAATACGCGCACTTTTTTCTTTATGTTATTTTGGTGGCAAAAATAGATACACGACGATGTTGTACTTTCTTCTTATTCAGTTGACACTATAAAAATTGAAATAATTTTTTTGTTTGTTTCTTTTTTATTTTATTTTTATTTTATATTTTTAATAGCAGCAAATAGTAATTGTTGTGTTGATTTGATGACTTTGCGTATAAAACTAAAGTAAATGTATAAAATGATTTGGATGGTTATAGTGCAATACAATGAAGTTGACGGGCAGTCAGTCTAGCAGACAGACGGCGTAACAATAGATGTTGGTGGCTTTCTGTGTTTGTTTGTTTTTGCTGCTTTTCGGCTTTTGAGTAGAATTGTGGTTGCTTTTGTTTTTGTTATTGTTGGCGAGGATGATGGTGATGATGATTATCACGGTAACAACGATGTTGTGATGATGATGCTGCTACTGCTGCTGCAAAATTTCTTTTTCTCGATGCTTTTGTTTTTGGCGTTTTATTTTTGACAATAATCAAGTGCTACAACACTTAAACCGACAATAAGAATTATTTATATTTTCTGCTAAAAGTTCAATTCACAATTTTAACCGTTTTCAGGTGTTTTCCGTAATTTCCCGTTAAGTTTTTTCCGTATATGACTTTTTTAGTTTGATTTAATTTGTTTATTGTTGTTGTTTATAGTTTGGTGGTTTATTTTTTATGATTATTATAAAAAAGACAACAATAATAAAAATAATAAAAACAAGTACAAGTGGAATATTATTATTGCTGTATATACATATGTATAGTTAAATAGATAGTTTTATTAGAAGCAGAGCACGGTCGGTTCTGTTACTGTTTCGATTCGGTCACACACAAAAAAACACTCCGCAGACAGTTGTGCGCTCTACGATAATAAATATTATAATAAAACGAAATTTTTAAAAGAGTATAAAATTCGTGTAATTGGTAATATCTGCAGCTATAGCTTCAACATATAAACGAACAAATAAAACGAGTATTTGGATGGCTGGCTGGCTGACTGGATGGATGGATGACTGGCTGGGGCTATAAGGCTGCTTACTACATGAGAAAAAAAAACACAAAACCAACAACAAAAATATTTATAATAAATACAGAATGTATTGGTGACGGTATCGGTGTATATCTCTGGCGACTGTTGCCAGTGCTGCGTTTGCTTTTGCTGCTACAGTTGGCGTTTGGAGGTGCTGCTCTTTAGCTTAAAAGCAAAGTCTGTAGGCAAATACTTGAGAATTGTTTTTTGTTGAGAAATAGAAAAAGCAAAGTCAACGTCTGCTGGCTGCTCTGTTGGCGTTTGTTTGAAATTGTTGCCAATAGATTTGAGTGTTATGTTTTGTTATTGTGTTTTTTATTTTTATGTTGGTGTTTTTTACGATTTTAAATGTTCAAGAGCATAAAAAAGATTAAAAATCTCATTAAATGTTAATAAAAAATTAATAAAATCTATATGCACGTGCTTAACGTAGACTTTAATTATAAACTCTTTAAATCATTTATTAAACAAATAAATCATTGTTTTTGATTTTTCTGGAGCAAAACACGGAAATTCTTAGTTTTTATTCGTTAACTTGTATTTAGTTTTATTAATAATCCGTTTATTGCACAGACATGCGTTTATTACTCTGATGCCCTTTTACACTCTAAAAACAATGTTTATTTTCTTCTCATCATCAGCAAACGCAAAAATACGTACACACAAACCCATTCTAGAGGAAAAACCAAAAACAATTCAAACACAAACTCACCCATTCATACGGAAAACGTCAACTGCAGCAGCGTCAATAAGAATTATTTAAACCACTATCGTTTACTCTTTTACTCCTGCACAATAACTGTTGATCTAGTCAGAGTGCATGTGAATATCGTATAGTCATCTCATGTTTATGTTCAAAAAGCATTATGGCCGTTGTAGAAAAAAACGTGTATGATAGTGTCAATGTAGTGGTGAAGATAATGGCCGCTGCCTTGTTTTGTTTTTCCTCTTCTCATATTCTCTCTTTTACAATGTAGTTGCAATGTTTGTTGTTGTTATTGTCATTGCAAAGACAATGAATGGCCAGAGTGATTTTGTTTAGAATGTGTAGAAAAATGTAGAGCTCTTTAACACTCAATTGAGTTGATTTATTTAATGTTTTATGAGCACATTAAGGTAAAATAAAAATAAATTTATTAAATGGATTGTTTGTGATTAAGCAAAAGCACCAACAAAATAAAGAAGAATAATTAAATTTATTGTTGTGTATTTTAGCTAAAATATTAAATTATTAATTGTTAATAAAAACAACATTGTTGTTTAATAAATAATTCTCACCATATTTTCACTCCACTCATTTTCGATTACACTCTCTAGTATAATTTTTATAGCATTTATTTACACTCTTATATCTTTCTCTCAGTAACTAAAATTTATTTGTGGTTGTTGTTATATTTGGGCTTGATTTTTTATTTTTATACATTTTGTTACTATTGTAGTTTGATTTTTATTGAAATTGAAATTGCTGTTATGACATTTTTATGAAAATTTTTCAAATTTATGATTCTACAACAGAGTCGGGTTCAAATTTTTTATATACATTTGTATATTATTTATTTTTATTTTTTTTTTGCCTACATTCTCATACATTCAGAGTAAAACTTTTAAATTTTTGCGGTTGTGTATTTATTTTATATCTCTTTCGCTCGTTTGTAAGAATTCTATTATAATCTAAGGAATCATGTCATTTATTTAATGACAATTGCACACTTTATTATATGTTTGAATGTCGAATAAAGAATATTCCAATTATAATAATACAATAATTTTAATTATCTTTCACACATTATCACTTTTTATTGTATAACAATTTTAATTAAAATACATTTATTTATAAAAAGACAATAACATACATACATGCATTTGTACCTGTGTATGTGTATATTCATATTTTTTGTTCTTTATTTGCGTTTTTTTAGATTTCAAACTGTTAATTTTATGATTAAATTGTTTATAAAACTTTGAATAAATTATTATCACTTTTATGAGCATATTCTATTTTTGTTAAAATTTATAATGTCATTTTTAAAATTTCACTGTTTATTAATATTTTTTACGTTTTTTAAAGTATTATTTTAACTTTTATGATTTGTATGTATTTTTATATTGTTGTCAATATTAATTCTATTGTTATTATAATATTGTATTAATAAATTATTAATTATTATTTACATTTTATATGTTTTACTTTTATATTTTTACAATGTCACGGAATACACCGGGCGATCATATTTTTGAGGTGTGAATTTGAATCTAAATTTTAGATATACACAGGTATATACAAATGTATATTTTTTATAGAATGTTATCATATATCGTAGGTAGACTGAAATATTTCTATAAATATAATATTAAAAAAACGCAATTTCCAATCATTTTAATAATTATTTTTTAATATATTTATTAAATATTTATTATTTATCCAAATTAAAAACTGAAAAAATATACCATAAATATAGGTATTTATATATATTACAAATTTGTTAAAAAATAGGATTATATATAAATAGGTATGTATGTACCTATATTTAATTTCAAATTAACAATAAATTTTCACAATGTCATTGGAAAAGCATTTTAATCATGATGAATTCTTTTAACTTCAAAGTCTCCCAGACTACTGATAAGCAATTCCTAAAAATAAGAAATAAGAAAAAAAATAATAATTGTTTTAGAACAAAAGTTTTTAAATATATTTTTGAATGCGGGATTGACTCGACATTAAATAATTCCACATTTTTATTATATTATTAAATTAAGTAATTTTGCTTAATTTCATTAATATTAACTTAAAATCAAATTCAATATCCATGTCTCAGAATAATAAACAATTTTGAAAACAAACTGAAAATATTGAAATTTAACTTGAAATGTGTTAAAAAGTTATAATCTAAAAGTCGATATTTTCAAGTTAATTTAATGATGTTTGGAACCGAATAGGAATTTGCATGTCATAATTATCCTAATGTATTATCTATAAATCAGCACAACTTAGTTTTATATAAGTCTAAATGATATGCCAATTTTCGGAAATTTCATTCAGAAATGACTTGGAAGTCAATAATTAATTTATAAACTTCACATAAATTTTTATTTTTCTGAAAGGACGTTTTTATAGAGATAAGGTCAAATGAGGTCCAATCTTGACACTTTTATGCTTATACAAAACCAATTCGAAAAGTCCCGTTATATGGGTATATGCGTAATAATGTACTGATTTTAAGTATTTTCAATAGGCTTCGTAATTGCCCCATTTGAGGATGATTTTGGTAATTATCTCGAAAATGGCGAGCTGTGCCATGCGCACAAGGTTAACGTGATAAAATATCAAAAATTATCTAGATTTAGAAATAAGTTCCAAAAATCGATTTTCTAAAACTTTTCTGCAACACCGACATAATAAATAATCAATAAAGTATGCATTCTAAGTAAGCATACTAATAAGATATTCCAGAACTTTAAAAATTACAAAACCACTGCCTTACTTTATTGCATTTTGGAAGCTTTTTTAATTAAGTAGGCATTGTATTGCTTCTACCCAATTTTATCGCTTACATTTTCTGATAATTTTTTGCTGGGTATCCCGTTAAAATTCTGCATAAAGAACTTTTATGTCAACGGAAATCTCTTTAACAAAATTTATAGGCCCATTATTAACTCTTGCCCCTATATAATCTTTCTATCAGAAAATAATTTTTTGGGCAATAAGTCAAGATAAGGTGGGATATCTTATGGTCGAACAAAAATATTTTGTGCATTATAAAACAACACATTCGATGCGTTGAGTCTCTTAAATATGTCAAAAAATTTATTGAGTTGGAGTTGTGTTTTGGATAGGCATAGGAAGGAACCTTTTCACATCGAAAGTGAGAAAAACCACTAATGCAGGGACTTTGTTCCACATTCGAATAGCACAGATGAAAAACTAGTTAGTTGTTTCTATAATGTATTTTGCGGTCCTCTGGAAAATCTACAGTAAATAGATTCGTTATTGATGAGACATATTCGAGTATTGGTAATAATTTACTCAATTTTAGCGGCAGACAATGTAATATGGGCGAATTTTTAACAATAAATAATCTGTTTTTATTTTACTATTTTTATACCCTTCACCTTCGTGAGAAGGGTAATATAAGTTTGTCATTCCGTTTGTATTTTCTAAAATATATTCTATATATATTCTGAATCCTTATAGATAGCGGAGTCGATTAAGCCATGTCCGTCCGTGTGTCTGTTGAATGTATGGATGTATGTTGGTTTCATTGCGTTGTATATTTTGTTTGGTATGGTTGGAAGCTGTTGGTTCCATTGCGTTGTGTATTTTGTTTTTGTGTGTATTTTATTTCGTTTACCGTTGCACAGTGGGGCAGAATGGAAATTTTTTGGAAATAAATCTGGCATTTCTAAACGGCTGATCCGATCGGGATAAAATTTGGCGTGAGCGTAGCAAAGGAGTATTCGAGTTTAAGTTTTGAAGATGAACCCTGCAGATGCCCCAGGGACGGCGCTGTGGCGGCTCAAAGTAGGGTACCTACGACATGTAAAATTTTTAAACTCGTGCCATTTTTTTGTTTTTCACCCAAATACAAAGATGAAAGCGCTCGACGAGATCTTGAAAAAACATGCTTGGACATACTACTTATCTCTTATAATATCCGAGTTATAGGCATTTAAAAATTTAGTGATACAAAATTTACCATACCTTGGTCCGCCTTTTTTTGAATACCGGGCGTAATTTTGGACCAAATCAACTCAATTTTTTCTTGTTAGTTAGACAACAAAATTTCCAATAATATACAAAAAATTTCAGATCAATAACATTTACAGATTGTTGTAGCTATCTGCGACCCTATTAAAATTTTGATATAAATCATAGTTTTAGAAATTAAACAAATATGTAATATATGACAAAATCTTTATTTATGACCAAAACTCAATGAAATTTTCAACGCTTGTTAAATTTGTCATTTCAAATAAGAAAATGCAAGGTCAAAATTGAAAAGGTCAAAGGGCATCCCGCAATTCCCAAAAATAGGAATGAAAATCCCAAAAATGGGATTTTTTACTTTTTTGGTCCACATTTCTTTCAGGGCTGGGAAAATACTTTTGGAGTAAATAGAAAACATATTGAGGTTTCCAAAACCGCTTTGATCCCAGCGTTGGGATTTTAGAACATGTCGCCCAAAGTTGAAGTTTTGATAAAAAATAGGTCATATTCGGAAGGACGCAGTGGCAACATTTTAAAAAATTGGACAAGTTTTTTACGCCAAAGCGTTCTGCGTAAAGATACCTTTTAGAAAACTATAAAATTGTTATATGTTCTTAATAAAAATTTTATTTTATTAATAAAAGAGTTAAGACACATTTTTGGCAAAAAAACGCCAAAAATCTAAAATTTTTTGAATTTTTAAATTAAAAAACGTATATTTTTGGATCTGTAAATGTTATTGATCTGA